GGACCAGGAGGACCCAGAGCCTCCACACATTAAAGAGGAACAGGAGGACCCAGAGCCTCCACACATTAAAGAGGAACAGGAGGAACTCTGGATCAGTCAGGAGGGAGAGCAGCTTCAAGGGCTGGAGGAGGATGATATCACCAAGTTCACATCCACTCCTGTCCCTGTGAAGAGTGAAGATGATGAAGAGAAACCTCAGTCATCACAGCTTCATAAAAGACACAATGAACAGATGGAAACAGAAGAAGAAAAAGAGGACTGAGAAGGAACAGAACCAGACAGGAACTCAGATCCAGATACACATTTACAACCTGAGACTGATGACAGTGGTGATGATTGGACAGAGACCAGAGAACCTCAGTCAGCTTTAAACTGTCTTAGAAATGATGAAGACCGTGTTTGTGATTTGGAATATAGTGCTGATGAGAAACCATTTAGCTGCTCTGAGTGTGGGAAAAGATTTTCTCAAAAAGATAATCTGAAGAGACACATGAGAACTCATACAGGAGAAAGACCATTTAGCTGCTCTGAGTGTGGGAAAAGATTTTCTTGGTCAGGTCATCTGAAGACACACATGAGAACTCATACAGGAGAAAAACCATTTCACTGCTCTGAGTGTGGGAAAAGATTTTGTAGAAGTGGAGATCTGAAGACACACATGAGAACTCACACAGGAGAAAAACCATTTTGGTGCTCTAAGTGTGGGAAAAGATTTTCTCGAAAAGATAATCTGAAGACACACATGAGAACTCATACAGGAGAAAAAACATTTAGCTGCTCTGAGTGTGGGAAAAGATTTTCTTGATCAGGTGCTCTGAAGACACACATGAGAACTCATACAGGAGAAAAAACATTTAGCAGCTCTGAGTGTGGGAAAGGATTTTCTCAAACAAGTATTCTGAAGGCACACATGAGATCTCATACTGGAGAAAGACCATTTACCTGCTCTGAGTGTGGGAAAGGATTTTCTTGGTCAGGTGGTCTGAAGAGACACATGAGAACTCACACAGGAGTAAAACCATATAGCTGCTCTGAGTGAGGGTAAAGATTTCCTCGAAGTGGAGATCTAAAGACACACATGAGATTTCATACAGGAGAAAAAGCATTTAGCTGCTCTGAGTGTGGGAAAAGATTTTCTTGGTCAGGTGGTCTGAAGAGACACATGAGATCTCATACAGTAGAAAGACCATTTAGCTGCTCCGAGTGTGGGAAAAGATTTTCTCAAACAGGTCATCTGAAGGCACACATGACAACTCATACTGGAAAAAATACATTTGGTTGCGCTGAGTGTGGGAAAAGATTTTCATGGTCAGGTGGTCTGAAGACACACATGAGAACTCATACTGGAGAAAGACCATTTGGCTGCTCTGAGTGTGGTAAAGGATTTCCTCAAAGTGGAGATATGAGGACACACATGAGGTTTCATACAGGAGAAAAACCATTTACCTGCTCTGTGCGTGGGAAAACATTTTCTCAAACAGGTCATCTGAAGAGACACATGACAACTCATACTGTAGAAAGACCATTTAGCTGCTCTGAGTGTGGGAAAAGAGATGGAAACAGAGGCTGATGGAGAGCACTGTGGAGGACCAGAACCAGCCAGGAACTCAGATCCAGACACAAATTTACAACCTGAGACTGATGACAAGACTGGAGAGTCTTCTGAAACTGAGACTGATAATAGTGACGATGATTGGAAAGAGACCAGATAATCTCAGTCATGTTTTTGCTGTGAACTTGTAGCTTCCTGTCAGTTGTTAGCAGTTAGCAGAAGGTTAAACTGTTACTGCGGCGCCTTTTAAATGTCAGTATTTATTCACTGTAAGCTGGTAACAAACTTAAGCCTCTCCAGTTCATGTATTTATAGTATTTGCCAGTCGCATTGGAGCTCCATGGTCACGAAATGTGACTGCGAGTCACAGTTTGGATCTCTCCTGGTCACACTGTAGTTTAACTCATTAAGTTAAACTCTTACAGCTACGCTGCTAAACATGGATGATTTATTCATAATGATAGCAGAGTACGAAGAGGAACTTTGTCGATGAAACGAGGAGAATGAGTGTCAACGGAAACTACTGGACGCTGTTTTCAACCCTCAGCTTCGGTTACACAGAGCAGGTTTGTTCATTAAACATTACAAATTCATTATTAATAATATAACTGCAGCTTTGTTCAATAAATATTCAGTCTGTCGACGTTTAAAAGCCACGTTAGCTTCTGTGGTGTCGTTAGCTTCTCTGTTGTTATTAGCTTCTCTGGTGCCGTTAGCTATTTCTACTTCTGGCCATCATGTTTTTTTTTTCTTTAGATATGTCATAGGACAAAGGTGCTCTTTAACAGTTAAGTGGGATTTCTTAACTCATAAGGGACACAGGTAACGTGTTTACTTCCTGTCAATAGAGCAGTAAATCTGATGTCCATATATGTATTTTGTATTTATCTGTTTTAACATATCTGTAGCATGTTTTACTGTATCATAATACATGTCTCAGGATTACACTCACCAGCATGGTATCTCACAGGTGCACTACGTCATCAAACCATGCCGGCATTGTTTTTCTTTTATTCCTTTTGGTTTTTGCATCAGGGCAGCCTAAACACACAAAGTCCAAAATCGCGATGAGTGGTGACAAGTCATGTCATGCCGTTTTTCGAGGGGAAAAGTTAAAGGATTACTCGCGATCTCATGCGGAGCCGTCAGTGGCCGGGCAAGTACTTCCCAAATCTACTTGCCCCATCTAAATTCTTACTTGCCCTGCCTAAGAGGTTCTTATTCTGGCTGTGTGGTACATATTTTCGCTCATGACTTATATGTTACGTGAGCAGAGACGCTCAGCCAATGGAGGCAGCAGCACATAAAAAAGCAGCACACTGCAACTGGCCCCTCCAAGGACAGAAACAGGAGAGGAAATACACCATTACAGGCCTGGAATTATGTCATTTTTAGGGCAAGGCCACTTGGCCTTTTGATAAATGCAAATTTATTGGGGCACCAAGGCCAAAACCAATGGCGCAATAACAATATGTGCTAACTACATTGAATGAAGACAAAACAATATATGTGTTGAAAAACAGTACTGAGTTTATTAGAAGTGGGTGTGCATGACTGGGGATATATCTTGTTTCTTGTTGTTTTGATTCATGTCCCTTATTTTTTAAGTCTTTGAAATCTCTTTATTCTTTTGTTATCTCCTAGTTATTAAAAAATTATTAGAAGAAAATTCTTTATGTTCCTTTCTCAGCACATTACATACATTGAAACGAAATTTGAACTCTGCATTTGACCCATCCTACTGTATACACTGGGAGCAGTGGGCAGCCGCAGTGCAGCGTCCGGGGACCAACTCCAGTTCTTTTGCCAATGCCAGTGGTCAGGGTCACTGACAGGAGTATTCACCTAACATAGCCTACATATCTTTAATTATATAATTATTTATATGTCTCTATGTATATTTTTACATAAATCCCCAATGTTTTATTTGCCTTTAAAAAATCCTATTCTTTCATTTAATTTGACAATGTTTATTGTATTGTATTATATGTATGAATTCTCTACAGGATCTTGTATGTTCATTAATGTGTGTTCAATTTATTAAAAGAAAAGAAAGCTTCTCTGGTGTCGTTAGCTTCTCTGGTGTCATTAGCTTCTGTGGTGTCGTTAGCTTCTCTGGTGCCGTTAGCCTCTCTGGTGCCGTTAGCTATTTCTACTTCTGGCCATCATGTTTTTTTCTGTAGATATGTAATAGGACAAACATGCTCTTTAACAATTTCGTGGGATTTCTTAACTCATAAGGGACACAGGTAACGTGTTTACTTCCTGTAAATAGAGCAGTAAATCTGATGTCCATATATGTATTTTGTATTTATCTGTTTTAACACCTTATTTTGACACAAAGACGCAGTCATATCTGTAGCATGTTTTACTGCATCATAATACAGTACATGTCTCAGGATTACACTCACCAGCCACTTTATTAGGTACACCATGCTAGTACC